ATAAGCATGTGAAGGACACTGTTCGGGGAACTACTTGTACCATATTGCTGTATGTGATAACTACTTCAATTCTTGCAAGGATAATAAATACATGTATCCTGATTATTGAAACTCAAGCTGGTGTTGAGTGAGATGTTTCTAACAACATCCAATTTGCTTGATGCAGGTAAAGAAAAATAAACTTCTGTTTATCACTAGTTGTAAAGTAGCAAGATCTCCAACCTGAGTCTGTTTGATATCTTCACTCCGGCCGAGCTGATAGAGAGTCTCCACAGCGGCACAGATCACCTCCAGAGGCAAAGAGAAGGTCTTCAACCAAGACATGAGATCATCTGGAGACAGAGAAACATGGCAGTGAATGCACAGAAAGAAAAAGCTTGAGGAGCTCTAAATGCAATTTCCAGCCCATTGCGCTGCACAGAACTGAGGTCTGGGGTCGTCATAGCCAGGGTTCATACACTTTTTCACCAATGATTTTCAATGACTTTTCCATGACCTTTACCTAATTTTCCATGACCAAAAAAATTACTCTTTCTCAGCGGTACCACTGAAAAAGGTTTATTTTAACATGGAACAGGAAAATAAGGTCTGCATATGAAACATGCTGTGCCTATCTAAAACAAATCGGCTTACTAGCCTCTACAGGCTAATGCAACTAAAATCTCTGACCAGCAAAATACCTCGACAGTTAAATGCCATTTTACGTTTCATTACTATACACAGTATTTATTATCATTATAGTATTACTATTTCGGCGATTAGATAAAATATAAATTATATTTGATGCAACTTTAGTTACATTTCAATGACTTTTCCAGGTTTTTAATGACCGTAAGAACCCTGCATAACAAACATCCAACAGAATCTTTATATGAAAAACAAATCAAAGAAAAACACTAACAAATGCATGTAGAACGGATTTATATTGTTTTACAGGTTACTAGTAATAGTAACGGAATATATTTTGAAAGTAACCCTCCCGACCTGGCACACCACATGAACTTACCAATTATCCTGTCTCTGGTATCTGTGTTTAGATGTTTGGCGATGTCTCCCATCACACACAGGATGTGACAGCTGGTTGTAACAGGAACATCATTTGAACTAAGAGCAAAAAGAGACATTATAAAATCCTCTCAGCTGAAATCTGAGCAGGAAATAAATCATGAGCTAAATTGTTTGTCCTTGTCACCTGATCATGGTGTCCCAGGCGTCCAGGATCTTCTCGTAGGGCAGTCTGGAGGCTGAAGCGATCACCTTAGAGAGCAGCAGCCAGGCCCCGGAGGCGTGCTCCGCCTCAGTGTGGGAGATCAGGTTGGTGATGAACGTCTGTGTTACCATGTTCTGTTTGGACCAGATGCCGAAGGCCCTGCTGAAATACCGGCTAGGGACAGAGGACAAAAAATAAGGTCAGCAGCAGCAATTACGATGTGATCATTCCTTAAGCAATGATGCTATTTTCAGGGTGCTGGTCTCTCTTAACAGATTTTAAGTGCTTTTTATGAACTGAGAAGTAGGCAGCTCTGTCTGTAGATGATTTGTATGTTGACTTTTCTGATTGTGACTATATGTTCTCTGTTTTTAATGTGTTGTCTGTAACGGCCCGTCCACACAGGCATGAAACAAATCTTGAAAAATCTTGATGCTGGGCGTGTCTGAAGCTTGGCGATTTTTTGCGAGCAATGCGACGAACAACCAATCACATGAATCTCCCGCCCCCGACATACAGAGCAATAGCAATATTAAAACGAAGTAAACTGGATATAAACTCCCCAAACAGGCGAAAACTTACCAGTTTCACCCACTGTCTCTGCCACCTCACTCCATGCCTGGTTCTTCCGGTTTGCATCCCGGTAAATAGTTCTGGTCATAAAGAACCGGGTGATTTACTACCGTCATTTCTCGTTTGGAATATGAGGAAATTAGCGGTTTGATTGGCTAGCCCTTGCACTGGCGGGATTTGCATAAACGGGATTTGATTGGCTGATGCCAGCTTCGCATGCATTGGGAGCATCAAAAGTTGAACATTGCTCAACTTTTGATGCTCACGATGCTTGCAAAGCCATGCTCCGCTCCCCACAATGCAGTTCGGCGAAGATTAAAAATCTTCTACGTCGCCCCATTCAA